AGCTTTCAGGCTTGGAGCATTTCCTCCTCCTCCTCCTCCTCTCTCCCCTGCCCCAAGGCATTTAGAAAGCTGAAGGATGGCCCTTCCTATGGGATTTTGCCAGTTTCTGGAGCTGCAAAACAGTGTTGTTTTGTTTGCCTGTCAACATGGCTATGTGTGTGTGTGTGTGTGTGTGTGTGTGTGTTGTTCCTTCTTGCTTCTGCCTTAGAGCAGAATCATTCCTCCTGCCCTTGTTGAAATCAGATCTCTGATAGGGGATAAGGCCAGCTCAACTCCACAAGCAATCTCAGATTTCTTAAGGGTCGCAGAAGGAAGGTGGATAAAACTCAAGAGGTGTGCTTAAGGGTCCCTTGCAAAGTCGCAGAGGATCCAAAGTGGCAATGCTTTAGCTTAGGGCAGGCTACTTCATTCTCACAAGAACCCTGCGAGGCAGATTAGGAGGACGATGGGCTCAGGGGTCACTCTGTGAACTGAGATTCAAGCCTAGGACTCCCCAAGTCAGTTCCAACACTCAAGTTGCCTCATCACACTGCTTCTCAGTGGGATATGGATGCGATCCTCAGGCATGGAAGATCACTTTGCCCAGTTACTGTCTCCAGGCTAATCTACCTCACAGGGTTGTTGTAAGGAAAAAATGGACTATGCTTCTTGCTTGGAGCCCCTTGGTGGAAGGTTGGGGTAAATGAAAATACAACAGGAGAGCTGTATACAGTTTGAAGTGACTTATATAGAACTGTAGCTGTATCTTCCTTCTCGTTTTGGTATAGTCTCTGCATCTAAACATACTATAGTAAGTTTTAACATGACGATGCAGCCAGGAATCCAATACATTGGAGTATTTCTGCCCATTATCATCTGAGTTTTGGACATGACTACCAAAGGTGATGGTGGTATTATATCACTGTTTGTTATCGTTGTTTTAATTATGTTTATTACATACCCTTAACCAGAAGGTCTCCGGTTAGGTCACAGCAAAATAAAAAAAAAGCATTAAAGACAGTGTAAAAAAATAGTAGTGGCAGCAGTTGTTCCTCTAGTTGTTTACTCACACTGTGTGTAGCTTAGCTGGTGTAAGGTGTCCTCTTTTTTAAAAAGCATTTTCTTAATCATTTTCACAACACTCTTCTAAGGTTGATTACTATCATTCCTATTTTATAAAAGGTAACTGAGGCTGAGATAGAGAGACACATTTCAAACGGAGTGAGTCCAGATTATGAGATGTTCCATGCTTTATAATAAGACACGGCTAGGAACCTCACACACACCTTTTCACACTTTTGGACTTTGCACAACTTGAGCATTATGCTGTCGGCAAGAGAATGCAGCTTGCATACTTCACCCTTTGCACAATACTCAGAAGTGTTGACAGAGGTTGCACAAATGGTTTTGCACATCTCCTCTTGCCACTGTATTGTAATGCACAAATCAACCCTGAATTCGGATTTGATTTGATTTCTTTCATTGAAAAGGACTGGAGGGCTTCGTGGGAAAGGTGGGCTCTGTGGAGGAATGTAGTACATTCTCATGAATTATATAAATACGTTGGCTAAGTATGCCATGTTTGGAACCAATTCACATGTTACAACTGGCTGCAAATTTCCTTTTTCTTCTCTCCTCCGGCTCATATTAGCAGCCATGGGTGGCACCAGCAGCCAGAATCCTTGGGCAGCTGCCAGGGCTCCACTTGCCCATTTACTACCTCTGGTGTAGTGTTGCTCCCAGGGCATTGTGGGAAATTAAAATGACAGATCGCATTGCCTAGCTAGGTCAGGCCTGACCCTATGACCAGCACTGGGTAACAATCTACTATCTGATGTCTCACAAAGTTATGGCGCACCACTGCATCAGATGCATTATGCATTAAATTGGCACCTCACTCCCTACATCCCAGTGCTGCCTCTGCAAGGTAAGCCAGACACTGGGCCCCAGGGATGCACGGTGAATTCTGCGAGAGGGCATTTCAGCAATTGCCTGGCACTGACCCTGCTTGCAACCTCTATGAATTTGCAATGTTGTGAATAGGCCAGGAAATTCCAGAGCATTGCAGCAGCAGTGTTCGTGACACATGGCACTTCCAGATTACCTGCTTACTGAGCGTTCACCCTGATTTGTGTAGAATAAATGTTGTCCACACTTTACAGTGTGTTTCCCCATCATTTTTCATATATCAAAAAAAGTCTGATTGGGGGGAGGCAGGTTTGTTGCACGAGATCACCAAATCTTTGTGCAACCTGAATTTGCTGGTAATGATTGAATCCCATCTGAAAATAGCAACAGTTTGGAGGTGCCCACAGTATTTTTGACTTGCACATTACACTGGTCAGCCAAGTAAACCCTGCATACAAGCAAGCAAGAAACAGAGACAAGAAGGGGCAATGAACATTATTATGTTAACAAGCCCTGATCCTTGCTTTTTCTTCAGAAAAAGTTTGAAATGTGTCTCTCTATCTCAGCCTTTTTTCTTCAAGGAGGCTTGACTAGAGATGTGGCAGGTGAAGAGGGGTTGCTTAACCCTTTCCACTGCCAGTCGTTTTTCTGCTCCAAATCACCCTCCCCTGATCCACTTCCCCCCTTTCAAAGTTCAAAGTTGGACTCCTGTTTGCCTGTGGAGTCCAATGTGTGAGTTTCCCCCATTAGGAGAATTCAGCACAGGGAATGAGCAATCTGGAGGCTTGCCTTCAAGGCCAAGCAGAAATCGCAGAGGCTTCAAATAGGACGTGAGCTCAGCTGGGTGCCTGTTTGAATTGTTCAAGGGTGGTTCTTGTTTACTCCGAGTGACTAATCCCAGTCCCTTCCCTTAGCGGTCGGCTCTGAAGCAGAGAAATTGCTTTCAACACAGAGTAGAGACAGATAGAAAACTTTGCCCTCCAGATTTGTGGTGGGCACCACTTGGCACACATTTCCTGGGACCAGCAAGACAATTGCAGAAATGCCAAACCAGCGTTTCTACAGGTTGCCAACCCTTCTTTCCCCTCGGGTGTGTACACAGGCAGTAGCATCCGTCTACTGAGTGCCACTGCTGGCTGTGCAGCCGGATATTTGCTTAGCAATAAGTCATGTGTCTGACATATTTCACATGTTCCACATTTTTCCCCACCCGTGTCTTTTGCCGTAGGCAGGTTGGCACCTAAGGCTTCTAGGCTCATGATCCAAACTTCATATTCCTGAATTTGGTGACAAAACTTCCTGCCTTTTACATTCTATTAGATATTGTATACATCATGCAGGGTTGTCCATTGCTAAGCAAACTTTGGGCAGCTGACTAAGCTCTAGATTTTATTGTGGTATGTTTATGTACTTAAGCCTAGATGTGTTGTTTTTTGTTTTTTTATGATTGAATTTATTCTGCGTTTGCCCAATTGTTGATTTTTGTCATTCTTGAATTTACTGACATGTTCTGCATTTTGTATATTTGTATTTCCAATGCTCTGTATTTTTATGATTTGAATGATTGCTGTAAGCCTCTTTGGGCACCGTTCACTGTGGAAAAGCGTCATATAAATAAACTTGTCCAATCAATTAATCAAAGTGGATGATACTTGATGGTGACAGACTCACGCTTTTGCATGTAGGTCTGCCCCAATCATGTGCAAAGGCAGTGCAAATTAAAATACAAAAGTGAACAGTTTGGTGTGGGGTATTAAATTTTCCTGCCTGACTTTCAGGTACTTTTTGAATTATTGTGGAAATCCCTTCCAAGTGAGATCTGCTTAAGGGACCACACAATGTCTCTCTTGTTCGCTTCATTTTTAGTGAGTAGTTTGACTTGATTTATTGGGTGCTATCTTTCTTCCTTTGCATTTTCATAATGCTGTAACAGCTAGGCTCCAACAAGTCCCAGGTTTTCTGGGTCGGGCTAGGAAAGATTCAGTCAGTGTAGGCAGTATTGAGTTAGACATACCAATGTCATAAGGCAGCTTTCTATGCCATTAGTAAAATACATGCTGTACAATGGAGTGAGAGACCTCAGCCCTCCTGTCCTCTGTCCAGCTATTGGGGCTTTCCAGGCCACATGCCCATACCAGCCCTGCTCTGCACATCCTCAAGGGATTTTGCCTGGCTCTAGTCCAGCTTGCAGGCTTCTTATAGGCATCTGGTTGGTCCCTGTGAGAATAGGATGCTGGACAAGACCAGCATTTGGCCTGGTTCCACCAGGACTCTCCTTATTCCTTATGTTGTGAACATAATTTGCATGATGGAGGGCAGAGGTGTCATGCCTTGTCTCTACCAGATGAGCAACAGATCTGGGATTGAACAGGACAGGGTTAATGGTGTCAGAAGTACTGCTGGAGACTTCCTTAATGGGACATTTATTGTTAAGGGAACTGCAGATTAATGGCTAGGGATTTACATGTGATGTTGATTCCATGGGACTAAACTGTTGAACAATTGCTTATTGATAAAGCATCTGTAGTTTTTCAAATAGGAAGGGCAACACCTTCCCCACCCCAGCTAAGGATGCTGTGATCTAGGTGTTTGTGTGTGAAAAGAGCAAGACTACATTTTGAAATAGGTGCTGAGTCAGAGCTGAGTTTGGGCTCTGCAATTTGAGGTGCAGCCTGCCTCTCTCAAGAGGTCCTATGTGGGTCCAGTGGATTGCACAGGGGTAGAATAGATGCCCCTTTGGGTCCCTTCCAGGCCTACAATTCTATGAACCTATGGTTCTATGACTTTCACTGTCCGGCGGAGTATTTGTAAGTTAAGCTGTGCTTCCACCTGTGCTCTGCCCGTACATTTGTTAATACATGTAAATACTGCCTAATACCACTAAGCCTCCAGTAACCACCTCCCAAAGGTAATTTAAAACTGGGCAAACAGATGCATCTGAAACTTCTCAATGACTCAGAGAATGGTGGTGTATGTGAGAATACGATCTACAGTTTAGTATCTCTCACATCCCCATAGGGTCCTTCAAATACATCCCTGCTCTGAAGTGTGGCTAAAGGCTGCTCAGTCAACCCCATGTTTCCTAAATTCTGTATTTTCTCAAACACAGCATCCACTATGGGAAACACAATGTCCATGCAAAGGGAACCTGAAGACGACGAACCTGTTCACATAACAGCATATTCAGAGGTAAAAATCTGTAGATTTCTTTGTTCTGCTTCGTCTGGTCAAATTGTATTGAAAATGTACAAGCCAGGGGCCAGCAAACTTTTTCAGCAGGGGGCTGGTCCACTGTCCCTCAGACCTTGTGGGGGGGCCGGACTATATTTTTTTTTGGGGGGGGGAATATGAATGAATTCCTATGCCCCACTAACTCATGTACAAACACCAGGCAGGCCCCACAAATAACCCAGAGATGAATTTTAAATAAAAGGGCACATTCTATTCATGTAAGAACACACTTATTCCCGGACCGTCTGTGGGCCAGATTGAGAAGGCAATTGGGCCGGATCTGGCCCCTGGGCCTTGGTTTGCCTACCCATGGCACAAACTGTGTCTCTGGCAGCCCCACACTACGCTTGTTGGGCTGAAAGAAATGCAGTCTGTATTTAGAGACTGGGAGGAGATGGAGACCCAGCTATGCAGCATTTAAATGTTGCTTTTGTGTTTTGTACAGTGTTGGGAAATTGCAGGGATATGTGCATGCCTGGATGGATGCCTCTACCTATAAAAATGGCACATGTAAGGAAAAGGCTCCAGGATGGGGGTAGGGATGGGATACATCAAGCAAGGACTGTGAAGGGCAGCAGTGAACAAGGTGGATCTCTAGCTAAACGATGATTAGGTAAGCAAATAGAACACCAACCAGGGATAGACAAAGCTTTGCGGCTCAGAAGGGTCAAGTCCCATGCTATTTGTTTGTCGAAATACCCAAATAGAAATGGGAGTGATCCAAGTACAAAAGTAAATTTAAGAATTCCATAGCTGAGTCTCCTCCAACCACACATCTCCTCCCAGGATGCAAACACACTATACATTTAAAGCACATTTGAAGCACATTCTTTCCCTCAAAGCACTCTGGGCATTGTACAGTGGTAACTTGGTTCTCAAATGTAATCCATTCCGGAAGTCCGTTTGACTCCCAAAACGTTCGAAAACCAAGGTGCTGCTTCTGATTGGCTGCAGCAGCTTCCTGCAGTCAAGCGGAAGCTGTGTCTGATGTTCGGCTTCCAAAAAACGTTTGAAAACCGGAACACTTCGGGTTTTTGGTGTTCGGGAACTGATTTGTTTGTCAACTAAGCTGTTCGAGAACCAAGGTTCCACTGTAATTTGTTAAGGGTCACCAGGAATTGTAACTTGTTGAGGGGTGAACTCCAGTGCCCATAATTCTTTCATGCTTGCACATCTTAGGCTACCTTCCTCTTCCTTCCTCTACTCGCATTGTCTCATTCTTTCCCTGACTTCTAGTTTAATGGCAAGCCATGGTTTCTTGTTACACACCTGAGCCTGGAAAACTGGTTTGAGCAAAACATAGTTTGCCCAGTTCTGATGTAAAGCGCATGATGGGAACAGGGAGAGGAAAGAGGGAATGCATAAGCCCAAGTTAATAATGACCCACTCTTTTCTGAACCGAGTCAGGGTTTATTACTGCAGTGTTCAAAATTGTGCAAGGGTTTGTGACCAAGCAGTTTCAATGACTAACCTTCAGTCTGATGCTCTAGGTTTCATCTGAACCTCCTGAAAACCTTAAGAATGGACCTGTCACAATCCCGACTGTACAGACTGTTCCTTCTGCAAATGGTGATGCAGGTATGTTCAGAGAAGGAAAGGCTGTCATGCCCATTTTTGGATTGGCCCTCCAACTCCAGCTGATTTAAATAAGCCCCCTGTGCAAAGAGAAATCCACTCGCAAACATTTATGCAAATGTTCACATCCTGGGTATAAAAACGTGCAAGATTTTAGGGGACAGTTGTTATGTAATCTGATATGAGAATGTGCCTTTGTGATGCACATTAGTGGGTCAACCTCTGCTAATCTAGGTGTTCTGCTAATCTAGGTGTTCACTGGTGGAGAGCCAGTGTGATGTAGTGGTTAAGAGCGATAGACTTGTAATCTGGGGAACTGGGTTCGCTTCCCCGCTCCTCCACATGCAGCTGCTGGGTGACCTTGGGCCAGTCACACTTCTTTGAAGTCTCTCAGCCCTACTCACCTCACAGAGTGTTTGTTGTGGGGGAGGAAGGGAAAGGAGAATGTTAGCCGCTTTGAGACACCTTCGGGTAGTGATAAAGCGGGATATCAAATCCAAACTCTTCTTCTTCTTCTGTTCAAACTCTTTGCTAGCTGCAATGGATAGAGTGTTCAGGACAGCTCTCCGTGATTGCTACATATAATCCAGCCCTTATTCTTGGACACATATGGGGACAATGGGTGTTTATTAGTTATTTCACTCAGATCATTGTCTAGAAACAAAATACTTTTTATTCTGTGTCATTCATCAGTTTGCCTCTTCCTATACTGATTGCAGTTCAGACCATAAAAGATACGATCTCTTTGGCATTTCTCTCTGGCATTCCTTTTCACAGGAGACGTATGTAAATCATACAAATTAAGCAGACATTAATCATATTGGTATACAGTCCACACTATATGCTGTAGTATATTATAGGCAAAGGCTGGGAGCCAGAAACAATGACAAGCCAGGAGCCTTTTATAAAACATGCATGAGATAAAACCATGTAAGACAAAACCACATCATTTATCACACCCCCGAGGAAACACCTGCTGTGTGGCTTCTGCATGGCTAGTTTGCTGCATTTATGAAAGTGTGTGTTTAGGATCAAGGTATGGGAATCTATTTGCAAAACAGAGAGCTGCATATGTGTCATGCAGTGAATATTAATGCAGCTGGCCCTTAATGTGATCAAGTGATTCCACTTGGGGTCTGTAATGACTCACTTCCCAAAATGAGTGCAACTTTAATCTAAAATCATCAGGAAAAGTGATAGGGGAAGAGAGAGGGACATGTTGCAAAACATAAAGTTAGACATGATTTGAGGGAAAGTTGATCATTGCCAGCAGACCAGAAAGGAGGGGTCTGGCCTAGCTGGTTTTGTTTTCCTTTGAAACCGTATAATAGAAAAACAAGGCAAAGTTTGAATTCTTCCAAACTCCTAGCCTATAAAGGGTTTGGATGTTTTTGCTTTGGGCTTTAGGGCAATCTTCCAATGTAACGATTGGGATGGGGACTGCAGAGCTTCCTGGGTGTGTCTGTGAACAGGTTACTAGATTAATACTGGATCCCATGAACAGACAAATTTGTGTGGATTAATTTCTACATAACATTCCCACAAACAGACCTCCAGGGGATTGTTTCAAAATGGCTGTCCATATTCTGATGGCACCAATCTACAAATGAACCCTATTCTCCATAGCTCTGCTTATATTTGATTTATTTATTGGTCACTTGATTCTTCTCTGTGTACAGTACATAGGTGGAGGTTCAGGCGCAGCACAAAAAGCAGATATGTCAATATCATATATAAGTTGTGGGTGTTAACTCAGAGTGATTAATGGTATTTGACTTCTTTCTCTGACTCATTCAGAAGTTGGCTTGTCTGCCAGACCATGCTCTCTGAAAAAGAGGACATTTGCCCTTGCTTATGTCTGCCCATCTTGTGTGTATGCACACTCAAGGACAGTGGGAGTGTCCCCCAGCTCATAACACAGAGGTCACCAACATGGTGCCCTTGAAGTCTTCCCCTGGTATGTCTGATACCTCTGAGCCCCTATGCCCTGGTCATGAAGTGGTGGTGGAGAGTGTTCTTGTGTTTGAGTCTTGCTCATGGGTTTCCTGCAAACATCTGGGTGGCCATTTTGAGAACAGGATGCTGGACTAGATGGGCTATTGAACTGATCCTGCAGGGCTCTCCTTATGTTCTGATGACAATGCCTATACTCCCCCCCCCCCTTGGAGAGATATGAAGTGCTGAAGAAAGAAATCAGAAGAGTGCTGTTCTTTCTGGAGCCAGTGTGGTGTGGTGGTTAAGAGCAATAGACCCGTAATCTGGGGAACCGGGTTTGCGTCTCTGCTCCTCCACATGCAGCTGCTGGATGACCTTGGGCTAGTCACACTTCTTTGAAGTTTCTCAGCCCCACTCACCTCACAGAGTGTTTGTTGTGGGGGAGGAAGGGAAAGGAGATTGTTAGCCACTTTGAGACTCCCTAGGGTAGTGATAAAGTGGGATATCAAATCCAAACTCTTCTTCTTCTTCTTTCTCACTTCCCATTTTACTTTATGTACTTTTCAAAGCTCAGATTAATTTTACTGAATCTGACTGAATCCTACTGAGTGCACAGCACTCACTCAAAAATCCAAATGGGCCCATGGGCCTAAAAAGTTTGGTGACCCCAGTTGTGTATCACAACAAGCAGAAACAGCCCAACACCTGGGGGTTGATAAGCCTCCTGTTTTTGTTTTCTGCTGGGACTGTAAAACAGGAAAAGCAAAAAAGCAAAAAGCAAAAACAAAACAGGAGGGGATGTCAAGCAATTGTCAGAATACAGACAACAGGTGTGCAGGCTTGGTGTCATTTAACTTGTTTTGTGTAACAACCTGAACAAGTGCAGCTGTTCACACATAAAGCTTCTCTGAAGATGGTAACGTTTGTTTTAATGGAGATCTTGATTAAAAAGATAAGCACGTACTTCCCTCTGCCCCATATCTGTATTAAATCAGAAGCATTTCTTTCATTAGGCAGCATGTTTTTGCAGCTGTTTGCTGTCTGTCTTGTGGTGCCACATCCAGCACACATCATTCTGATGCATCAAATTTTAGCTGAACCCCATTCTCAACAAGACACTTTGCTTATGTGGATAGTTGCTTCCTAGTTGTTGGGTTCCACACGGCATTAAAACTGTGCATCTCTCAAGGCCTTCCAGTTATTTAACATCATAGCACAGGAAGTATTTTTACACACCTGCCCTATATGCTAAAAGTAAAATCATTCTCTATTGTTTCACACAAGCACAAGGAGAGAGCAGTCACGCTTTATCCGTGTTTGTATCTAGCCTTGCCCACAAACGAAAGTGGGGGAAAAAGTTCTGCACTCCCTTTCTCAAAGGCAGTGGTGTGATATTTGGAGTTGCACCTTTGCTTCAAGGTGCATGAAGCCATTTATATGCCTCTTAACATGTAGTCATGGCTGAAGCACAATTGTGTATTCAAAGCCCTAATTTGAGATGTTGGCCTAAATGCCATGGATTAATAACCCTTTCTGCCAGGGCAAATAAGTGAAGCCCTTTCTCTCAAAAAACAAGCCTGGTCTTTCTGAAAAACAGGCACTTGTTTACTGCACTGGCATGCATAATTTAAGAAAACCATAAATCATTGCAAGATAATCTGAAATGTGCTAGATCTTGAATTTCAAGAAATGTTGCATTACTCTGTTAAGCTACTTACAAACTAAAAACAGGTGCTGGTTAAGAGTCAAACAACAAGAACCCTGCTGAGAAAGTTAAGGTGTAGCTATATGTGTCTATAAATAGATATTGATAGCTTCTATACTGAGGTCTTTAGGAACCTCAAAGTGTTTTCCATGAGGCTCCCAGGAAGTCTCCTCTGCAGGGCAGGGGCATCAGATGGGTGAGTTGGTGGGTAAGAAAGATGATGTCTTACTCTTACTCCCACTCCCCACACCATGCAAAGGAAAATTATATGGAGCAAACATAACCAGTCCCAGCTCACAATTACTCCATACACATTTATACCATTTGGAGATCAAGACCAATAAGCAGCCAAGCTCCAGTGAAGCTTTCTAGATCCTCCTCATGAGCAAGAGAATGAAGTATTCATAAATTAAGTGCCCCATCATAAAGTGCTAAAGAACAATGTATCTTAGTGATGCCGAAGGAGACTATAGAGAAACAAAGACATCATGCAGCACCATCAAATTTGCAATTTCTGATTCTTTCTCTGTATCTTTCATCTTGTTGATACTTTCCCAGACTTCATAGCACCCTGGCTTGTGTGTATTTAGCAGCATATTTAGTAAATGGGTGGCAGTAAGTTTACCAATCTGCTAAAATAACAAAAGCAACCCAGATAGTCAATGTGTCCAAGCTATTCCTGTGTTCTGGTGGAGCTCCAGAGCCTGAAAAGTTGCCCTCTTCATCTGTCGACCCAGTGGAGTCTACCTGCTTTGTTATATGGCCTGATTCTGCAGCTAAAATACCCAGCTTGTCATTATTATTTATTAAATTTGTATACCACCCTTCATCCATGGTTCTCAGGGCAGTTCACATTATTATAATAGAAGTTGGGTCATATGAATAGGCTGAGAGCTATGTCTAGACCAGGGGTGGCTAACTTGGGAGTTTCCAGATGTTGTTAACTCCCATCATACTGGCTGGGGCTGATGTGAGCCGGATGCCTCTTAGAGGTGGAACTGTATGTGTTCAGTGAAGATGCATTTCTAGCTAGATTCTGCCACACAGATGTGAATGGGGAGGAAAGCCAATATCTGTGATTCTCGTGGGGCAGTTAATTAGCTGGGTTTATTAGCCGATCCTGGATTGTTTGGACCAGCTGCAGAATATGCATCAAACATAAGTACTACTTGGTGAAATTCAACCTTGGTGGGTCACAAGCTGTGCAGACCTGTTCGTGCAACAGAGCTTGAAATGGAAAGTGGTGACTGTTAAATATCATGTGAATATTGCTCACGATCACTTTCTTTTCCATTTTGCTGATGGTTCTAGACACCCTGAAATAAGCCCCATTCCTATCATGCTTTGCTAGTTCACAGCTGCAAAGGCATCATCACAGTGGGATCTTTCCATTTTCCTGCTTTGTCTTGTACACTTGGCTCATGTCTTTCCACAGCTGTTTAAGAAACGCGTTTAGAAATGATTTTCATGTCTGTCTTGCCTCGGTGTAGTTTCTGAAATCAAAGGTATGTCAATCGACCGTGGCAGGCTTTTATCTTTGTGCTTGATTTCACTTGTGTGAGTGAAAGGACGCCATTTTCAGGCTAGATCCTGCTGCCTTGTACATGCTGATTAATGAGAGCTTATGGCAGGTTTTTTGATCCATTGCTTTAGAACCAGAGTTCTCAAATTAAAGTCTCTCTAAGGAGGTTCAGGGATAGGACAACAGTGACTCAAGGGAGCTTGAGGGTTGCAGGGATGGCCCCAGACCAAGGACAAGGTGCTATTAAGGACAACAGAGTGGTAGGAAGTCATGGTTCAGCCCTACCCAGCCCGGGAATCAAGGCTCTCTCTCTCCTTGGAGAAGGAGGAGAAAGAGTGCGATCCCTCAGCAGATCTCTGCACCACTAACGGCCCTGAGGACATTCACAATCTGGCCCCAGGACTGCTTGGGTTCTTGGCTGGCCCTTGGATCTTCCCTTATCACCCACCCCCAGGTTTACAAGGGCAGAAAAGAAAGTCCAGCTAGCTCAGGGTTTCCCAAATTTGGGTCTCCAGTTGTTTTGGAACCACAATTCCCATTATCCCTGACCACTGGTCCTGCTAGCTAGGCATGATGGGAATTGTAGTCCAAAAACAGTTGGAGACCCAAGTTTGAGGAACACCAAGCTAGCTGCATGTGAGCTGCTTGGGAGGAGGGTGAAGCACATGTAACACCTCAAATCAGGACCTGGGCTAAGTGCTAGGAAAGGATGGAGCCTCCAGCAAATATGGCATGTTCCACTGCTGGCAGAGCAGGGCAGGTGTGGCTGTGTTGCTGTCCTGACGGTCCAACTGGGAGAGTGGGTGGGCCAAGGCAGCAGAGAGTTTGGCACAGTGCGGGCCTGGTAGCAGGAGCATCAAATTCGCTCTGCCACCAGGCCTGTACCTGCCAAGCTCCCTGCTGCCTTGCCACCCACCCTCCTTCCTTGTAAGCGTCCATGATGCACAGTGTTGGGAAGTCAGAAGAGCAACACAGCCACACCTGCACCACCCGAATGCTGCTGCTGAAGTGGCAGTTCCAAGCTCTAGAGCAAAAGACAGTGGACTGCAGGTTAGCAGTAGGCTACTTTAGGGGGTTAATGATATGCTGGTTGGCACACTCAGCTCTGACATTCAAGGGAGGGGAATAGCCAAAGGTAGGGCTGGCTCTGATTTAAAGGCAGCATTGGAATAGTCACAGCAAATAAGAACACAGATTCCTTCAGCTATTGTGCTTTGACGGGAGTTAACAATTAGATTATTCATTCTGCAATAAAAGAACAGGTTTTGTTGCATTTCCACATTGTTAATTCTCAGAAACTGTACCTTGAAACCTCACAATTTTCCTTTGCCTTTGAGGACAATTTTACACTGTTTCTGGCAAGGGGAATCTTGCCTTTACTTCTAGAAATCTCATCTTTCTCACAACAATGCAAATACTTATCAGATTTCTAAAGATTTCTAGCTACACTCAACTCAAAGCATGCTCTGCTTTTGAATTCTCCAGCATGCAGTTCCTTATGTGGTTTCAGTTTCAACAAAGAACGATAACTGGGAAGCTACACTTTTGTAACTTTTGTCTTTAAAAACAAAATAATAATTGTGCCCATTAACACACAGGGCATGCAGAGACAAAGCCTTTGACAAATCCAAACTGCTGCAAATGATTAACAGTAGGTTCCTTCTAACCCTGTCATTCTATGCCATCATCAGGGAGACCCCTGCATCTAGCAGGCTTGAATCCTCAACACATCAGCTGGTGAGCGGAGAGTTCTATCCTGCTCAATTGGCTTTATCTACCTGTCCCCCTACTGTGAGCAAACATACAAAGCCAAAATACAGTGCTGGGCTATTTAAAAGCCCTTTTGCAAACAGCCCCATGTTGCTCTTTAAACATCTGGGTTTTGGACATTCAAAGTGCAGCATGGAGCTGTTTGCAAAAGAGTTTTCAAACAACCTCCATGTTGCACTTTGAAGTCCCAACAGTTGGGGCTTCAAAGCACAGCATCATCTGCTGTTTCTAGGACACTCACCTTTCCAATTTAGTTCTCCAGAGGTAGGGAGATCTGGCCAGCTGGCCAGAAAGAGTTCCTCACCCTTGCCCTACAGCTTAAGGGAGCATTCCAGTGTCATCAAAGTGTGGGCCATAAATAGTCAACAATGACAATACAGTGGGCTTCAGCAACCCATATTCCATGTGTAAGCGGATAGGCCAAAGCTCACACTTTGTAACGAGAATGGCACGTACACACTGTGCTTGTTTAGCCATTGCAGTTTACAATCAGTCCATTAAATACACAGGCAGCTATGATTAATAGTGCATCTTTCCTGTCATGATGGATAATTGCTGTTTTCTTGTTTGTACTTGTAGTGGATGCAAGAGTGAGTGTTGTCCAGGATAATGTGGCCGTTTCTTCCCAGAAGACAATGGAGCTCAGCTCCAGCTCCGAGGCCAGTGGAAATAATCTTGGGAAGGAGGCCAAGGCGGCCCCACCAGCTGCCAAATCTCGTTTTGTCTTTGCATTTTCACGGCCTGTACCAGGACGTACCGAAGAGAAAGCAGCAAATGCATCGGCTGGATCGGCTCAGCTTGATGTCAGCTCAGAAGCACCCCAAGCGAACAAAGCCTTGAGTGAGAATGTGGACCTTCCTGCTGCAGCTGCGACAGAGGAAGCTTCAGATAAAAACCTAAGGGAAGAATCTCTCAGTGAAATTGAACTCACAGCACCGGGGAAGGCAGAGGAGGAGGATGCCGCTTTGTCCAAGCCCAAAGAGATAAGCTTTTTCGACAGACTCTTCAAAGTGGAAAGGGGGAAAGACAAGATCAAAGCACAAGACCAAAGCCAAGGGGAGGTGAAGGAAGAGAATCCAGGTGTCATCATCACAGCAGAAGGAACTGCAGGATTACAAAGCACGCCAGAGAATGTCTTGCAGGGGAAGGCAAGTAAACAAAACAGGACGGTATAATTTGTTTCTAATTAAGTCTGTCTGGAGGTGTTTTTGTTTTTTTTAATGGGACAAGATAGCATCACACTGTACAATGTGATAAGAAGCTAAATCCCCGTTGAGTGACATTGGTGGAACAGCCACCTGTTGGAGAGAAATAATAATCCACTGTAGCTGCAATGTTAGCTCTGCAGCACAAATTTGGCCCATTGAACATCATTGCCTGCTCCCTGCCACAGTCTCACTGAATGGTAATTAAGGTGTGGTGAGAATTTCAACTACCTGAAATATTTCTATCATAAGAAAAGTTGTGAAAATTGGAGACATTTCTACCAATGCTTTTCTTATGTTTTTGCGTTCTTATCTTCCTTGGGTTTGGTGTTCAAGATTCAGCCATTGGTCAACTTGTGGTGACCTTAGTGTGAGGCAGGTGCCACCAAATTTATGTATAGAGTTTCACCATGAAACTATATACACGCAGAAGGCAAGGTGAAACCAACGTAGACTTCTTTCACTTTCCTAGAGCAATTTCTGGATAATACTCTTGAGATTACAACCATTTCTAGAGCTTAAATTCAGCCATGCATTTTGTACTAACCTCATCCCCTGCTTGTAAAGAAGTAAACTCTATTTATTGTGCAGGTTGTTCTTTAAAATAAAAGGTGGAATTACTACTAATAGGATTCTGTGAATCGGGGGGGGAGTTTTTAAAATAATCTCTCTTGTACCCCACCTTTTTATTTTTATGTTGGGTTTTGAGTTTGCCTGCAGTTGAATTTTGAACGTAAAGACCCAATAGCTTTTATTTCTAACAACATATATTTTGGATACTTCATACATAACCCCCAAACATTCTGATGGCTTAAAAAAAACAAAAAACTTCTGGGTAATGAGAATTCTATGTGGCTTATTCCATTACTGAGAGTTACAGGGCTTCATTTATTGTTGTTACATTTAGCTCAAGACTATCCACCCTGTCTGGCAGTAGCTCTCCAAAGTCTCATGCCCTTCTATCAAAGGTCAAACTAAATAAGATGTGAATGATTAGCTATCCCAGCTTTTTTTTTCTTTTTTAAAGCACACACAAACCAAACTAGATTTTGGCTATGGTTGACCTTCATCTGATTACATTTTTCTTATAGCCATCTTATCCCAACTCAGAACATTGATCCATCCAGCCTGGTATTGTCTACTCTGACTGCAGTCATTTAGAATCTCAGAGGTCTTTCTATCACCAGGTCTTTTCCTAACCAGAGATGCCAGGACTGAACCTTGGATCTTCTGTGTTTAATGTCAGTGATAGGACATAAGTACTTGTGTGTTTTCCATGGTAAGGCAAGTAGCACTTTCAGGGAAGCAACTGAGATTGGGAAAATGTTTCCCCCAGCTATGGCCTTGGCGCAATTCACACCAACCAAGCATATCTGCAATTGCAGGGGGTTGGACTAGATGACCCTCAGGGTCCCTTCCAACTCTACAATTCTATGAATCTGGAGAGAGAGGGAAGTTACATCCCCTCTATGTTGGCCCTTAACCTCTGCAGAAAATTTAACAGATTACTCTCCTTTGTCTTCTTGGCATTTCTCAGTTCTCTAGTTTGGCTGTTTACTGACATATAACTACATCACACTTTTGTCACCGTGCTATGGGACATGGTAATTCACTGCGCAAGAAAACTGCAAAGACCTAACCAGGCCACACTAGACAAAATTCACTACTGTGTACAGCAAGAGGAGACAACGCGGTGTCCTCCAGATGTTGTTGGACTACAACTTCCATCAATATTGGCCATGCTGGCAGGAGCTGATGAGAGTTGTAGTCCAACAAAAATCTATACCACAGTGACTACCCCTATTGATTGGACGAAACAGCATTGGTAGTGGTTCATCCCATGGTTTGGGTTCGCAGTTAAGTTTTTTATTGGTCCAGTTGTTAAAGTCAAGTTTTGTGGATTGAAGTGAGGCAGGTGGTTCAAGCAACAGATGTTAGGCAGCAGGAAGGGTTGGCAATGTTTTGGAGCTCAGAACTGCATCCTCAAAGCTACCCTGAAGCCCTCTGGTGCAGTGAGTGAAGTTTTTCTGTCACTTGTATTGAAGTAAGATTCAGCTGCCAGTCTAGTCAAATTCTTTTCCTGGAATGAGAGGGATGCCATATTGCCCTGTGCTTCAGACAGCAAAATGTCCTGGGCATTCCTATAGCTCCTATTTACATATACCAAACCATAGATTTTAACTGCATTCATGCAATTAATGTTTGCGTTTTACTTCGGTCCTTAGAGCACTAAAATTATAAGAAGGCATACGAAAGAGCAAAAGATAGCAACAGTGAATGATATCCAACATGAGCCATGTTCAGAATGGGCCCGTTGACATAGCTAGATATCACCCAATTATTTTCCATGGATGCATTCCAGAAAACAGCAATATTTATTGGTAACTAGAAGCAGTTGGAGCATAATGTGCTTACTGCCAGGATACGGTTATTGAGATAATGTATAGGAAGCAGGGTTTTTTTTTTGTTTGTTTGTTTGTTTGTTTGTTTGTTTGTTTGTTGAGATTCTACTCAAAAAAACTGTGTGTAGAACTTGAAATTCCAAGTATTATGAAATGCTAATGATTTTTATTTTGTCATCAAGCTATAAGCTTTATAAGGCAGATCTTTACTTTTCCAGACATATCTTCTGAAATAAATGCAATCTGCAGCTCTTATTTGACTTCCCATTAATTCCGAAGTGGTTTATTTATACAAGTGTTCAGGTGGGCAGAATTAGGCTCAAATAAAAAGCTCAGTGGTAATCAACACACTTTCGATAAAATTGGTATCTTTGGCCTCTGACAGACGGCAGAAAGCCGAACGTCTGATTACTGTATACAGATGAGATATTTATGCTGGAAGTCTAAATATTTGATTTAATCGTAATTTTCCAAATTTTGCTTCAGGCACACTTCACTCTTTAAGTAAGCCATGACTGATAGCTTCTGTGGGAGCTTAATCACTTCAAAGCTTTTTCCGCATGTCACAATGCCAACAAACAACAACTAACATTGCTGAGAGGGAGGGAAAGAGAGAGAGGGAGAGATGCCTCCATTTTAGATTCCAGTCCAGGAACTACACAGGCATTCTGTGTTTGGCTGAACCATGGCCTTATTTTCAAGCGCCACAAAACTACATTCAGGAAGCTGCATAATTAAAACAAGGGCAGGATTCATGAACCGATGAAGCGTTCGCTATTCAAGCCAAGGTAAATTATGTGACTGAAATGTTTCACTGAGTGAGCCGTGCTCTTCATGGGAACAAAAAAGGGCTTGGCAAGAATACAAGCTTTTCATATAGCTTCTCATTATGCCCACCCAAAATGGCAGAGCTGGTGCTAACACATACACATTTTATAATGACCAGAATATTATGTATGTACAAAAAAATTAAATGGGTAGTGCTAACTCCCCCCCCCCGTACTACAGATTTTATACCCCCCCCCAAAAAAAAACAACCATAGATATAGATGATATAAAGGTAAAAGTAAAGGACCCCTGACATTTAAGTCCAGTTGCGAACGACTCTGGGGTTGCGGCGCTCATCTCACTTTACTGGCCGAGGGAGCCAGTGTTTGTCCGCAGACATTTTTTCTGGGTCGTGTGGCCAGCATGACTAAGCTGCTTCTGGCGAAACCAGAGCAGCGCACAGAAATGCCATTTATGGATGATATAGATATAGCTATCTTACTGCAGGGCCAGACCATTAAGCAGAGAGACATGGCAGCTTCAGGGCGCAGACACTGGAGGATGGGGATTGGTGGTGAGGTTTTGAAGGATGGAGCTGTATGAGCTATGTGGCCTGTTATGCACCCTCTAGATTTTTCAAAGAGGGCCAGATTTGATGAACTGAACATGCATGAGGGCCGATCAAACTTGTTGAGCTTTTAGCCCAGGACATATACTGCCACGGGGGCCGGATTAAATTGGCCGGCTGGCCGGATTAGGCCCCAGAAACAGACTTTGGACATGCCTGCTCCAAATGAACCCTCAGGTGTGGTGAAGGAGGATGCTCTGTTGCCAGTGCTGAAGTAAGGTTCAGCAGCCAATATGGTTGGATTTTTGTAACTGGGAGAGGTAGCCATCTTGTCTTTTGCCACAGGCATCAAAATGTTTCAGAAGCTATGATAGGACAAATAGTGAAATGACCATCCTCAGAATAGCCATCTCTCTCTCTCTCTCTCTCTGCGTGTTCCCATATCACCTGTTTGTTCAGCATTCATCCTGATTTGTTTGCAGGTAGATGAGACATTGCTGGTTGTTTACTGAGCATTCATTCTGATTTGCTTGTGGGGAGGTTAGATGGCACTGAATCGAAGCAAGTGTTCTCCCACACTTTCTAGTTCATTTCTCCATCACTTTCCTTACTGCAGAAACTCTGGTCTTTGGGAGAAGCGGGTTTGTCACACGAGCTCTCCCAACCAACCATTGTTGCGCAACCAGAATTTGCCAGTATGTGACTGAATCCCACTCTGTTGCATAGCTCTGTGGCCTTTCTCCAGCAGTTCAGCCAGGAATTTTATTTATCAGAAATGCTTATGAAACCAACAGATGTCTTATTTGTCATCTGCTTACCCCCAAAAGCCCAACCCACTCAGCACACAAATCTAAGCCTTTCTGTTCATAACTCTTTTAGGCCCCTGTTGTGTCAAAGTTACCACACACAGAGAGATGTACAAACAAGCTTTTAGGCTTCCAGAATGCTCTCTGGCTTTCAGGGACAGCCTCTTTCTCCACATACATCTCCAGTTAGGGGCTGTCTTTAGAGATGTATGCAGACTTTATATTATATATCTAGCCTTCTTCAGGCATTGTTAGCCTAGCGCTAAACATGCGAGGGAAGGACCAGTGTGTATGAGTGTGTCACCTCTACCGCTCATTGCCATACTTGCGCCTTCCAATTCATGGAAGGCAACTGAAATCACAATGGAGGGTGTCAGTGGAGCAAGGACACTGCCTTTG